CCCCAAAACCCCAAAACCCCAAAACCCCAAAACCCCTAGAAGCAGATTAAGTGCGTAAGAAGAGTTTAAATGATTTAATTAGATAAATTTAATTTATTAATCAATAATAATTTATCTATTATGGCTTTCTAGCAAGAATATAAGCTTGCAGATTACTTTTCTGTAATTGGATTGGACGAGTAATTGAACACTATAGACTAAGTTCAAGATGGTAAATACAATGACGACTTTTTCTATTTCAGTCGTTTACTTAGCACTCTTTATTATCAAGTTAAAGTTTATCTAGTAGCTGGTATATTAGAGTGTTAAGTTGACGATATAAATTCAAATAAATATCAGAAAATGACTCTATTTAGATAAAATGATTGAGGATCTTGAGATAATAGTAATGCAGGATGAATATACTAAGATTAGTTATAACTCGCAAGTGGAAAAATGGATTGACCTAGATGGTTCAAATATGATTTTTCTGAGAATAATTTATGGAGCACAACGCCCCATAACTGATATTAATTTCTATAGAATTTAAAATTAAAGTGGTCATCCTAACAAAATGGTAAGTAGCAAGCCACAAATTATGAGCTTAAAATGCTAGAATCAATTAAGGAATTTAACTTTCAAAATTGCCATCAACATATTCCAGTTATTAACGATTAAATTCATAGAGACTTCCAGCGTATTTGGAAATAGAGCCGGTTCTGATAAAGTAATACGGAGATCCAGATGCTGATTCTAAATTTAGGAAGTTTGTAATTCATTTTTGGTGACATAATCTATATTTTACTCATAGAGGAAAAACAATCCTGATGGAGATAAAAAGAAAGAGATGCTTATTTATACAGGAGATTTTGATTTGACGCCATACCTAGAAGGAGCTAATGGAGCTTAATCTGGTTCAAATTTATGTTTTTGTTATACCAGAAAAAGGAAAAATTATCCAATCTCAGATGTTGAAATAGTCTAGGGAGTATCAGGCACCAAGGGGCCTGATGATATTGAGTTTAATCTATAGCCTAGTCTAAAACAAATTAACTACAAGTTAGGGAAAAATATCAAGAATAGACTTTTATGCTACAGATAAAGTAATTATTATTGAATTATTTATGAGCTATTAGGGGATTTTTTAAAAAGGAAATTTGAAGCTAAAGTTCTAGACAGATATCCTTTTGAAGGAAGAGATAGACTATACTATGAATTTCCAGTCTCACTGAGTTAATTTTGCTTTCCATCAGGCATTCAATTTACCACTCAAAGATCGCTTCCATAATATTTTAGTTTCATCTTAACGGACGCTTAAGGATAACATATATACGGTACTGCACTAACATTTGATGAGACTCTTCCACCAGAATTAAAAAATAAACTGAAATAGAATTACGTTTCAAATGTTGATAAGATATACTCTTAGAAAGCTATTTGTGTCTTGTCTCATTATGCATTCATGGATTCCTTTAAAGAAATTTTGAAGCAGCTTTACAGGATTTATCTGTCCTCTAGCAATTTACCTATTGAAAGATACATAGTTAATTTTATGGATGAAATACCAGTACCAGATAAGGGTAATATTCTAGTTTAGCATGAAATTGGAGAAAAAAAGATTCAATTTTTTAGACATATTGATTAATACCCTCCTTATGCTTCAGTAAATATTTGTATAATATTCATTAATTAATAGAAAAAAGATATTGAATTCTTGTTTAGAGCACTTGATGCAGAATAAGTCATTGATATTTTCCTTGCCTTATTGATGGAGAAAAAGGTATTGCTTATATCAGAACATAAAGCTCTCCTGACGCATTCTGCTATAGCTCTGATTTCATTATTATTTCCATTGAGGTGGATTCATGTCTTGATTCCAATATTACCTAAAAATATGACTGATGTCCTAGATGCACCAGTACCATTTTTGATTGGTATAGAGCCGTTTATTATTAGAGATGATGGCTTTGAAATTCCGAATGAGGTTTATAGAGGTAAAATATTTTTGTTCATTTATTTATCTTTAGTCGATCTTGATAATGGTTCTATATCTCTTAGAGATTCAAAACCTAAATTGCCTAGCAAAGAATTCAAAATCCTAAGATAAAGATTAATCAAGGCAACAGAGGGAATAATAAGACCAGATCCAGTCTTAGAATAGGTCGATTATGCCTTTGAGATGAAATCTTATGATCCCGAAGAATAATTTGAATTCTAGCTTAATGAATATGAAATTAGGGATGCCTTCCTAGAATTTATGTCTAGTTTGATGTCAGGTTACACTAAATTTCTTGTAAATATCTATTAATAATTTATATTTAGAATACCCCTAATGCTTAAAAAGATGTATTTTTTGACTCAAAGGATTTCTTTGACTTTAAGAAATTTAGAGCTGCTAAAGATGCAACTAAAAATGTGACTCTGATCTATAAATTAACAGAGACAACTCTTTTTGCTAACTTTATTGAGGCTAGATCATTTGGAAAGAGTGATTAAGATGATCAAATCATGTATTTTGATGAGTAATTTATTCAATATTCATAATTCATTAATAGATCACTAAAGCTTAAAAGAAACAAAAAGGTTTCAATGCCTTTGATAGTAAGACCTTTTACTGAAAAGAAAACAATAAAATCTTTAGCTCCATGTGAAGAAGGATTAGAACCAAATTAAGTTTTTAAGCATCAAACCTTTCCTAAATTTGATCTTAGTTACTTCTACCCTCCAAGGCAAGTACAAAACTATAATGAAGAAACTGGCTATCTAATAAAATCAATGGTTAGCAATGAGTAGCTAATGAAAATGCATGATACTGAATGGGCTAGATATTTGAATGAAATAATCTACCTTTTGTGGTTCCAAATTTTCTGCACAACTTTACCTATGTACAGCAATTATTCAAAGGAATTAATATATTTCGCAAAAAAACTGCTAGAATACATTTAAAGAAAGCTAACTCCAATGAGGGATGCTGAGATGATTTATAGAAGACTTTTTGAGGCTTGTGGAACTTGCAGACTTTAAGATGAGATTTAGGATTTATATTTAGATATGAAAAAGAATAAGATTGATCCAGATAAGGTTACCTTTGGAACATATTACCAAGCATTCTTGGTAAGTAAGAAGCACAACACAAATTTCAACAATGGAATGGCAATGGGCTCTAATAATATGAGATACCCAGTCCTCTAATAAAAAGAATCTTACCTATAATATACTCCTGAGGATTTTTAATAAAAGCTTAAGGAATTTGAATTCAAATAGATATAGATAGAGGAGGAAAAATAGAATACTTTTAAGCAAAGAAATTCATTTGGCTACTTAAACATGGCAAGATCGGAAAGTGACTTTGCTGGAGAAGTTGAAACTTAGGTTGAATCTTTAAGAACTTCACAAGTAAAATTGAGTCAAATTCTAGAGAACAGCATATACCTTGAAATTGAAACATTATGCTAGCAATGTGACAAACCATTAAAAGAAGAAGAAATACTCTCAGGTTTTTAAAAAAATCTTAGCTCTTATGTAATAAAATGCCCAATTTGCAAAGAAAGTTACGTTCCAAAATTCAATGTATATTCTGAGTATAAAACAGATTTCTTAAAAGGAAGAGATGGTATGAGCATATAGATGCTTTCACCAGTAACTCTTTACAAGGAATATATTAACCTAGTCGAGCATAAAGGAGAGTAAATAGTTTTAAGGGACAATTTTTTGAAAGAACATAGGACAGTATTTTGGAACATAATTCTATACTTTAAAATGATGAGACTGCCAATCTTTATGCTTGATCTTGATTATTCTTAACTTCACATTAAAGTTAATGTAAGTTAAGTAAAAAAGTATCTGCCTAATGATAAGAAAAAGGTGATTTCTACTTCATCTCAAAACCAATCCTCTTTCAAAGGAAATAGCTAAAAATTAGACTAAGAGAAGCTTAGAAAACTCGAATCATCTCCAGCTAGATAATCTAGCATAAGTCGAATGGCAAGCTCTGTAGCTGATGTCTTCAAGAACTCAATTAACAAAAATAATAATGTTGGTAGCAATAATAATGAATTTGGTGATAACTAATCTGTTAACAACGAAAATGATCACTAGAGTGAAAAAAGAAGTTTATCTAACTATTTCATGAGAAAGAAAGATGGCAGTCATAAAAGTGGAAGCGGAGCTGGCTCAGTAGTAACATCTTTAAGTGATCTTGAGCGAATAGAAAAAATAATGACTACAGCTCAATATGCGAATAAGAGCATAGTAAAATACTTTAGCAAACACTTAGAAGAATTTCGAAGAGAAATGCAGTCATCTAAGGAGATTATTCTTTCAGAGCTAGTTACTTAAGGCATTCCTGAATAAATGAACAGACATGTTAACTTAAATATGAATTCAGGAGCTAATCCGTTGACAAAAAACTTCCAAGAATGGTAGAAAAATAAATAACCAGTTACTGCAGAAGCCATTATAGACTCTATAAATTCTAGCAGACATGGAGGATCTTTTAACATGCCTAAAGTTGGGCAATAAGACATTAGTTAGAGTAATCATTAGTTGAATAGATTATCTAATGCATCAAACTCTAAAAATAATAATGGCATACCCATTACACTCTCTAATTAATTGAGAAATGATTCCAGTTCGAGTCTTTCATCTTCAAATACACCATTTAAAAGAAGCTTAGCTGATATACGTAAGTCAAATTAAAGTATAAAACATTCTATAGAGAGCAGAAATAGTGAGAAGACGAGCAATAATAAACCAGTTCAAAACATTTCGGGATAAAATTTTTTCAAGCCCCCGAAGGATTAGAGAGATGTTCAAATCATGCTGTAAAATTAGAAAAATCAGTAGTAGTCATAAAACTAGCATGTTGACCTTAATAGAAGTCCAAATTAACCAATTATCAATTCTAAGATGAATAGTAATCATTAGCAAAACAGTTCCTCAAACTATAAGATGTGAGCAATTTTAGATCTATAGATTATAATCAATTTAATTCTGATGCTATAAGATCGTTGAAGTACTAAAAGTACTTTAGAGATATCTATCTGTAAATATATATTCTATAATTTTCATTATTGCTAATTCAAAGCTCTCTCAAATAAACGAAGCATTCGCAATTATGGGGTTTTGGGGTTTTGGGGTTTTGGGGTTTTGGGGTTTTGGGG